GAACATTTGTTAAGTCTGATGGTGGATGGTTTTAAATGAGAAAATACTCAACATGGGGAGGCTTTACATCAAAATCTGATTTGCACTTCTGCCCAGTTGGTAAGGCAGCCCGAGGCCTGGGTTCTTGGATGGCCTAGAGTCCTACGGTGGCTGAGTTGCAGGGAGGACATACCTTCACCCAGCCAGGCATCTTCCCTCATTCTCCCTGCCCCTAATAACTAGGATCGGGGCTCCTGCAGGAGAGTGCTCTCGAGGGCCTACATACCGGGCAGGTCCGTGTCCTCTCTCTCTCTCTGGTGACTGTTACGAGCGCTGGCATGGAGGCAGCAGTGGCCAGCAGAATGACTCTCACTCCTGCGTCTTGCCCTCATTGCAGTTTTTCAAAGACGCATTTTTTTTTTCCTTGTATGAGCTGGGAGCACGTGTCCTCTTGCTGGTCGATTGAGGCTGTCAGTCAAGCCCTGTCTCCCAGTAGGGGAACAGGCTGTGAAGCATCAGCAGGTTCCCCTCCCAGCACTGAGTAGTCCGAAGGGAAGATCGTTAGAATTTGTGACAATGAGTCAACCACATCCAAATAATGGTAGAGCCAGGAGGGGCTGCAAATTAAGAAGCCTTTCCTGTGTGAGCTGGCGGCTGGGTGTTTGCTCTTCTCTGCTCCTGTCCGGGTTTGCACATGACTAGCTGCAGGCTCGAGGGATTTGCATTAGCAGATCATAAGTAAAAATCCCATTAAAGTGACATTCTCCTCATCATTAGGATCCCTTTAGTGAGGCGCTCTCGATTGTCAGGGACATTTCCCAGAGTGGCCCAATAATGGGCTCACCTGGTGGTCTGTCCCCTCTGGCAGTGGCTTTCTGAGGTGTGGGGCAGAAGGGCTGGGTTGCTGGAAGCACACAGCTTCTCTGTGGCAACAGCTTCCCTCCCTGGGAATGCTCCTGAAGAGTTTTGTGCATTTTGTGCCCTGGTTTCAATGCCCATGAGCAATCTATGTCAAGTGCTTGAGCTCCTGGTCTGGCCGTGGAAAAAGGAAAAAGGGGACCCGGGTTCGAATGCAGCCCTTGACACTGGCCTGAGCTGTATTTACCTAAATTTGATCAAATTTATGAAGGTCATACTCTCATTATTCTTGTTCACCCATCCCTAAATTCTCCTTAAATAATAAAATTCTTTGACGATAGTCCATTCTTTTGGGGATGAAGTACCAACTCAGTCACATGATGTGAAAAGCCTCTTGGGTTTTAATTGACTGCTCCTCTAAACATGTGTCCCTGCCAAAGGGACCCCTTTCCACCCCATCCCTATGGTCTGCCACACCAGAAACCTCCACCTCCTGAAGCTGGACGTCCTCCTCACCTCTCTGCCATCTTGGTTCCTCACTCCCCGTCACTGAGCCCTTGGTGCTCTGTTCAGGCAATGTCGCCTCTCAGGGGCTTTTCCAGGCCCTTATTCCCAGGTCCCTGTTAGTGTCTCTAGAACGGCTCCCACAGACTCCCCACAACTGGCCCTTGCCCTCTGCCCTAGCACAAGTCAATGTAAACTGCTTCTGTGTTTGTTTGTCCCATGATCGTGGGGCTGATTCAGCAGCTGATCCCGGGTACCAAGCACAAATCCTGGCACACAGTTTTTGTTCAGCATAAACTGCTGACCAAAGAACTAGATGAAGCCCCATTAGGCATTACAACATTTATTATGCTGCTGGGAACTCCAAGGTGGGTCAGTAGACCGGCTTGAGTCCTTTCTGGCCCAGGCCAGAAAGTTCTGCTATAATTACAGAGTCATTACTTGCCAAAGACAAAAAATCTTTGGAATTAGGTATAAAGATAAAAGCTGAACAACATTTGGGATCCACAGAGTAAAAAATGGCAAAATTTTAGAATTTTAAAATGCTGCATAAAATGAATCAAAAGATCAATTAATCACCAGGAGGTTTTAAAAGGTCTCTGGATTTTTCTTCTCTCTTTCCCCCTCTCCCTCCCTCATGTCATCTCTCTCTTCTTTTGATTGTGACATCCATTTGCTGTTATACAAACATTTATTGGGCACCAATTGTATGCTCAGGGCTATAATATGCACTGAGGAGCTGGAGAGAGTAAGACACAGTACAGCCTCTCAGGAGATCAGCACAAAGGGAGCAGAAAGGCAAGATAAGTGGGTTACTAGTGTATAGTAAGCATCAGGATAGAGTTCTGTATGGAGTCTGGGGAGATGTAAGCCACTCAGGGGGGTGATCCAAGGTGGTTTCCTAGGGGAGGAGACATTATCAAGTATGTGCATTCTGAACACTAAGGGATTTACATCCAAGAAACTTCAGGAAGGTTCTGTCTACACAGCAGAATAAGGGAGAGAAAGGCCTATGGCTGGGTCTATATGTACCACTGGATTGCTAGTATGAGTGTGGTTGAGGTTTTCTATACCCTACCTACCGTGCTTCCTTTCAAAGGGGCTGAGGCTTCTTATCTCCAATAACTAGCCTTTAAGTTTTTCTAATGTTAATTTTTTTAGTAAAGAATGCTATGGACTGAATTGTGTCCCCAGCCCTGTTTATACATTGAAGCACGACCACTCAGTCTGACTGTATTTAGAGACAGGACCTTAGGAGGTGGTCAAGGTTAAAGGAGGTGATAAGAGTAGGGCCCTAATCCCATAGGGCCTTAGAAGAAGAAGAACAGGTATCTCAGTGTGTGAGCTCTCTCTCTCTCTTTCTCTCTGTCTGCCCTGTGAGAACACAGTGAAAAGATGGTTGTCTACAGGCCAGAAAGCAGGCCCTCACTGGGGAGCTGAACCAGCTGGCACCTTGATCTTGGACTTCCCAGCCCAGAACTTTGAGATATCCATGTGTGTTGTCTAAGCCCCCACAGGCTGTGGTACTCTGTTAAGGCAGCCCCAGCTTGACGGAGACAAGGAAGAAGAACTTAAGTGAAGTGAAGATTTGATGGTTTCATGGAGTTTCAACAAAACTATAAACATTTTTCATCTCAATGATAATTCTGATCTCTAAATTTAAAAATATTTAAAATTTAGAAGTGAAAACATTTTAAACAAACATTTGCAAGCTCACCAAAGAAGCAGCAGAGCATCATGGAAAAGGGTAGGTTGGGGTGGTGGTTCGCTGTGTAACCTTGGGCAGTTCATGATACCATGGTCCTCACCTCATTTCATCCACTGGGCAAGCCCGGGGGCAGAGGTGAGAGTGAGCTCAGGGGCAGTGTGCCTGGTACAGAGCAGACGCCGATGAATGAGATTGGGGTGATCAGGAAGGTTTTCAGTGAACCTCAGCCCATCCGTAAATTCACCACTTTGGGAACAGATTTCAGAATTCCTAGAGTCATTCTATCTTTAACTGTAAAACCAAATTCCTTCCTCCCCTATTTTTAATTCCAAACCCTGTGACTTCATTTGCCTGTATCAGTACTTCTCAATCCCATCTTAGCAAACGCCACAGGGCATCTGTAATTACCCTGGCCAGTATAGCAATGTTCTTATTAAAACCCCTCACAATATGGGATTTATTTTAATTCATCTCAATTTGTATTATGTATTTAAATATACCCCATATAAGCCATATGGCACTTCAGAAGGTAGCTGAGAGGTTGCTGGGAAATCAAATAAGCAATGTCAAGATTTCACAATTTCTGCAATACCCAGAATTCCTAATTCAGAGGAACATACTAATCCAGATGCCATATTTGCAAAACCCCAGGCTCCAGCAAGGTGGAATTTATTGGGACTAGATCAGGCAGTTGCCACAGGGCTTTCTCAAACATCTTCCCATCGGCTTGGCACCCTTGACCTTGTCATCGTCTGAAGTTCCAGCATTGAGCGATTCCCTGAGGTTAATGAATGTATCTTTTAAAGAGCATATGTCTGTGTTTCCGTGTGGATGAAAGAGGGCAGCTATCATTCTCATCTCAATGTAAATGAGTTCCTTCTGGAACGCTTCCCGGCCGCACTCTCTGAAACTAGCCCTACCCGGGGCCTGGGTAGATGCCCGTAAGAAAGAGAAGGGGAAGGATTCTGGAACATTCAGCCCTAGACAAGGTGATGCAGGCAGCACACACAGTGGGTTTTAGGGGAAACCTGAGGTCCCCAGAAGCAGAGGAGGGGTGCCAGACAGTAAGACCACAGAAGGAGCAACATTTCATCTGCCTCATGAAGTAACCCTGTCCCACAGTCCCCTTCCCTGTCAGCCAGCATTCTCCCCCGGATAGTTTAAAGCCATTTCTAAAAATTCATGTGTGCCCTCCCCTCCACCCCCCCACCCCCAGTTCCCGTCTAAGTGAAGGCCAGCGCTAGGCTTCTGCACAGAGCCTTCCTCAGCGGCACCACCCCCCAGAGAAGTGACCACCACCTCCCCAATCTCAGCCCTGGAAAACGCTTGCAGACAGACGCTTCAAAGCCTTTCACTCCAACCAGACACTTCATTTGTCATTGACAAGGGTGACACAGGGGCCCTTGTGATCACCAGTCAGGAGGCTCTGGAGTGTGTCACGAATTTTTGTACTTCAGAAAAGAACGCGTACTGCTCACAGTGCACTGTGTCACTGTTTACATCAAGGTCCTTGGGTCCCTTGTTCTCATCCTGTGTTACCAAAAGCAAGGCTGCACCGTCACCCAAAGGAGATAAGAGAGCCTCACGGAGGAGGCAGGGGCGCTTATGATATAAAGATGTGCTAACGGGATTACAAACTGGGCCTGGGGACCAAGAAGACCTGTGTCCAAGGGGTTCAATAGGAGCAAAAGGACAGGATACTTGCGGACAGGTCCACCACCTGCTGGTGGGGGGGTCCCAGTGGGGAAGTGTGGCCCTCCCACCCCCAGCTGGGCTTATAGCTGCAGTTTTTCTCCTGACTTAAGATGCTGTGTGTCTCCCTTAGCTGATTTTTCCAAAACTCAGCAAGCGAGCAGAACTTGGAGGAGCCTCCTGGTTGCTCTCAGCACAGGAGCACACCTACCACCCTGCCAAGGGGGATCTGGGGGGAAGGGGAACCTGAGTGCCATACCTGGTCCAGCTTCCAGTGGAACTCTGCCGGGCGGAAGGTGTCAGCCTGGTCGAAGTCCTTGCGCAGGAGGAAGACGAGGCGGCAGTTGTGCACATATAGGGCATAGTGATGCCGGTTCATTTCTGCAAAGCGGAGAGGAGCTGTGAGCTTACAGAATCCCTGCGTCTGTCCCTGCCACAGGGGTCTTCCTGCCACATCACTGGGAACACCCTCAAATGGGAAAGGAATGGGTATTCCAGTTCCCCCTTTTACAATTAGATCTAATGAATGTTCCAGAACACATATGGTGGAGCTCACTGAAATGGAAGAGGACGATTCAAGAAAGCAAAACTTCTGCAGAGAAGCCATTTGGACTCGAAGTATCCCCCTAACTTATACCCAGATACTGCATTAGGCCTGGGATAAAGCCTATGTAATAATGAGTTTGTTTGTTTGTTTGTTTTTGTACAAACACTTCTGAGAAGACTAAGGGGGCTCTCTGACAATCACATCAGCTACCCTGGGCTCCTTTAACACAGCTGGTTTCTCCTAGAGTGCTGGGCTTTCATTTCATTTCATCAGGCTTGACAGTGGTGACCACAGAGCATGTCTCCTTCTCTACTGGGCGCAGTTAGGGGAAGTGGCTTCATGTGTAGTTGCTAGGAGGAGGGGACAGATTGGTTTTTCAGCATTAGTCATAGTTCTGTGTCTTTCCAAAGCAATAAATGAATACCTCTCTCCCTACATGCAATGGATATGATGTTTTCCTCCTCTGATATAAAGACTTCCTTTTCTGCTTGGGAAATCTCGCATCACATATCCCAGTCATGATTTCCTGCAGCCACAAGATAGCAGCCATGGGGAGGGCAGGAGCTGTTGTCTGGCCAATACCAAAGATCTCACATACATACTACATAGTAGCCTACACAGAAATCTATGAGGCACGTGCTCCATAAAAGACAGATAGATGAGCAGGGGACCTGTTGTCATAGAAAGAACATGGGCCCTAGAATCAGATAAACTTTGGGTGGAGTTGTATCTCCAGAAGATTCTGGAAGAATTTTTTAGCCTCTTAGAGCCTCAGTTTCCTGAACTGTGTCATGACATGGATGCTAGATTGTCCTAATGAATCATGGGAATAGGATAGTGAGAATAATTCTTGTATGTCCTGTATAAACCTTGAGGTTTGAGTGTGAGGAATCAATTCCAATCCTGCTTCTAGGCCTGGGGTCTGGTTGGTTTCCCTGCCACAGTGATTGTTCAGGACCCAGGCCCAGGTCAGGCAATGCACACCATTCTCCCAGTCACAGGGCTTCTGTCAGAAAAGTGACTCGGTTCAAGCCACTGATTCGGGAGCTTTTCTGAGTGGTTTCATAAAAGAACTCTCTTTTATCAGAGAGCAAATAGAAGAGATACTGTCTTTTTCTCTAGAAGTTGTAGTATATAACTGGGAGGCATGGAGCCTCTGCAGCCGTGTTTGGTAACATGAAATCAATACATATATGGAGGCAGATCTGAGAAATTGCAGAGTAAAGGGCCAAGCTCTTGTTCACACTTCACCTGAAGCTGTCATAGCTCTGGACATTTTCAGATACAAGAACTTTATATTTTCCTGTATTATTTTGATTTCTTTGATCATCTGATAACAGTTTGGTCTGTATTTCCTATTTCTTGTAACTGAAAGCATCTTAACTGATACAATGAGGAAGCAGTGGCCAGTGTGGCAGGGTTGGCTTAGGCTAATGTCTGGGTGGTCACTTGGCCTTTGGACTGATAAAATGCCCCAGCCTGATTATGGGCATTTTACTCAATATTTCTTGTTTCCCTCTCAATTGCCCAACTGATTTCCATTATCTATTGTCTACTGTCAGAAAAATATAGAAAGAAGGACTTTTCCCCCTTTATTTTTATTTGGAGTCAGGAGAGGTCATGGGTGAGGAAGTGGCCCGAGAAGAATGAATGGAGGTCTGGAGCATCTTCCAGCCTAGGAAATATCTCCCTCCCTGCCCCTCTGTTAGTCTGGATTCCTGGAGTCACTGTCCACACTGGGGTCACTGGTTTATTTATAGTGGGCTAGGGATATGGTACACTCAGAAATCCACTTCATTTCTTTTCATGACTGTTGGTGTTCTTTGTGGCAGTTCAACGTTTAACAAAAAGAAACAAGTTAAATGAAATAATAAAGCCCTGTGACAGAATTTTGGATTGTTATGTAATTCATATCTTTAAAGAATATTTTATCACAAAGAGAAATGATCTGTATATAATGTCACATAAAAGAAACAGGGAACATAATGATATCACATGTATTATAAAAATAGTGAAAATTATAAGGACATTCCACATATACATAGAAATAAAAACAAGATTTTATTTTATAATGAAATATGCCAAATATAATCAGGAAATATTTTTAAGTATTAGGGTTTTAGGGGATTTGTGTATTCTCCTTTATACTTTTCTGATCTTTTTCAGGTTTTGTGATATAAACATGCCTTGAGAAAATGTTTCTGGTATATAAAAGCCTAATAAAGCTTTGGTTTATTCCTGATATTTTTAAAATTTAGAGCAAGCAGGTATTTATAGATTTTTTTTTTTTTTAAAGTCAGAGGAGTTAGAGGAAGCTTCCCTATCTTCCCTGTGCCAGGGCTGAGCTGCTTGTAAAGTGTTGCTCTGTGCCAAGGCCAAGGCAGAGAAGCGCCAGGTCGTGCTGACTCCAGGTGTTGACACGCCCGTGGGGTAGCGGCTCTGAGGACAATGAGCCATCATCATTTAAGGCAGCATGTTCAGCCACAGCTGCACACAAAAGAATCCCCTAGAAACTCTAACTTCCTGCACCAGGTGGGGCTCTGACATCTTGACTTTTTACAAGCGTGCCAGATTTTTCTGCTGTGTGGCCAGGTTGAGTACTGGGTCCCAGAGCATAGGCTTGGAACTCAGGCCCAGAGGACCAGGTCCCATCCTGTTGTTCTGGGTAATCAGCCACATTTCCTTGGGCCAATCTTTCAACTTTTCATAGTTCAACCTGTTCCTCTGTAAACCAGAACATTGATATCTGTGTGAACTGCCTCCCAGGGGTATTTGATACATTTCAGGCAGTACTCTGCATGTGGCTGCGAACCTCAGTCTACGCCACTTTGCACTGTATGTAGGGTCCTAAGCTGTTGTCTCATTGATGAGCCTTCTGATTCTTGAGGGGAGTGCCTTGCCAGGCTCTGCAAGCACCAAGCTGTACCGTGATTCCTGGGATCATGCACTGAGCTCTGAAGAGAGTCCCAAACCTCAGTGTGATCTCATGCACGTCTACAGGGTCCTTCTTGCATGAAGGTCCCAGAAAAGCTCATCCTTGGCATAACCGGTCTAACAGACTTACTTTATGACTAACAAAAGCCAGGCAATTCTCTGTCTCAGTTTCTACATCTGGAAATATGCTAACATGTATGGTAAGGTGTGATTAAAACAGCAAATGTGGGATCCTGAGAGTAGCATAATGTGGAATAAATCCAGAAGTAATATGAAAATACCACCGTCAAGTAAATAAATAGAGTACTGATTTTATATCTGATATTGAGTGATTTCAGACATTATTTCATGTTTATTTCCCCCACTTACAGACAGGGGAACTCAGAGAGATTAGCAACTCCTCAAAGGTCATACCTTAGAGTGGAAAGGTTGAGAAACAAACCTTGGCCATTCACCAGCAGAGGCTGAGCTGTGAGGCCCTCCAGCCTGCCTTCCAACTGCAGCCTCTGCTGGGGCTACTATTTGTTTTGGGTATTTTAACAAAAGTAGCACTAGAAATGGGAAATTGTGGAATTATATTTTAAGACAGAGTTGTCAAATTTGCAAAGGATCTCCAAATGTGTGTGTGTGTGTGTGTGTGTGTGTGTGTGTGTATGCGTGTGCGCAGTGTGGTGACAAGTGCACAGGACTGGAGTCTGCTGGATCTAAGCTTACATTTCAGTTCTTACTGGCTATCTACCTTGGGACAGTTACTAACCTCTCGGGGTTGTTTCCTTATCCTTAAAATGGGAAACACAATAATGTTTTTCTGAGATTGTTTGTAGACATCTGAGAAACTGTCTAGGACAGTAATATCTAACAAGGATTGCACTTCCGATGGGTCAGGCACAGTTCTAAAGCACTGCACATACATTAAGTCATTTAATCCTGATGAAAACCCTATGAGGTAGACAATACTAGCATGCCCATTTTATAGAGGGGGAAAGCGAGGCACAGAGAGGTTAAACAAGTTGCCCAGGGTCACAACATCAGTAAGTGGTGGAACGCTTTTAACCACCAAGCAGTGAACTACCTCATGGGGGCTTAGCATGGGGGAAATGCCTAACAAAAGTTCACTACCGTGATTACATTTGGCAGTGACTTGGTAAATTACCATGGCCCTTTTATTGATGATAAACTTCTGAAAGACTTACTTATGTATAACAGAGTAAAGGTGTTAATGCTTTGAAGTAAGAATGAGGTCTCCCTGCCCCCCAACTCCCACCACATGTGCAGCAGCCCTAAGTTACTTCTGGGAAGGCTGGGTTTTGAAGAACTTGGTTTGAAAAGTCCTAGTCCCAGTTTTTGCATTGTGTCTGTGCCTCTACTTTCCCCTGTTTCCTGGTCCCACTCTACCCCCAGCCCAGGAAATCAGCAGCTAGAAAACCAGAGACCGGAATAGTTTCCCAAGAGGCCATCATGCTCTGACTTTTCTCCCATGTGGTCGGTGGCTTGTGTCTGTGCCTACCCCCTGGGAGAGAACGGGCAGACTCACCAGTCTTATCTGAGTTGCAGAGGATGGTTTCCTTCTCGGCTCTCACACCAGGGCTGGGGCCGTGTTTCATCCACATGGTGATGGTGAACTGGTCTGTCAGGTTCTTGGGCACAATCCCGTCAGGGATCTTGGCCCCTTGTCTGCCATCAAACTTGAAGATCATCTCGCTGCTGTCCACTAGCAGTCCTGCTGTCCAGTTTGTGGCAGCGCTGGGAGACGGCAAGAGGTCGATGATGCCAGATGAGGCTCCTGCGGGTCCGGGGGCCAGAAAGAACAAAGGGTTATTCCACACAGGGTGGGTGTCCCTGCCTTCTATTTTTTGCTCCTGGAGCAGGGTGAACTGCTCAGTGTATTTACTTAGAGATCTGAGCCATCCTTCAGCTAGGTGACTCAGGAAAAGAAGGGCCAAATGCCATCCCTCCCCCTGAGTTCCTTATGGTCTACAGAGGTGAAGGCATCAGTAACTTACAGACAAAAATGTTGCATGTGACAAGATAATGTGCGACAAACTACTATACAAAGAAAAAATGCTGGAGGAATTTTAGGAAACAAGACTAGGGGGGCTTTTATAAGCAGGGAAGGTTCCTGGAGAAGGCCAGAGTTTGATGTGGATCATTGAATTCATTCATGCATTTATCCATCCACTAACCTAGAAGCCATTTACTGAGGACGGACCATGTGCCAAGACCCCTGCTAGACTCTGGTGGTGTAAACGTGAATCAGCACAGTCCCCCACCTGGGGGAGCTGAGAGCCAATAAGTGCACAGACACCTGTGACACAGCGTGATCAGGGCTGGGATTGTTCTAGGTCCTGATGCCATGGGAAGGAGTGTGAGCCATGTTCTATTCACCACACTTTTTTTTTTTTTTAACAAGCATTATGTTTAGACCAAATGGTACAGAGGTTGAGAGAACATGGGTTCAGAAGTCCTCAAACTTGAATTGGATGCCTTGGACCATGACTTGCTAGCCTTGCAACTGTGAGCACGTCCCTTAGCCTTTCTGCCTCTCCAGCTCCTGCTGTGGTATGTCCCTTCCCAGCAGGTGGTGAGGACTGGATGAGACCCTGCTTGAGAGGCGAGCCGGCCATGTGGTGAACACTCCCTCCCTCCCTGTCACCTATGACTTTATTCTTATAATGATGATTATAAGGATATCATCATTATAAGGTTATGATGATAAGGCATGAGCACTAAGCCTGAAGCAGGGGATGTGTCATGGGTAGATTTATATCTTAGGAAGGTCACACCAGCAGCTTTGTGGAGGGTGAAGCTAAGGTGGGCAGGAGGGGCCACCCTTGCAGAGAAGACTGGATGCCTCAGCTGGGGTACTGTGGGCAATGGTGGACCTTCCCACTGAGAATCTCTGAGGCCAGCAGAGATCTCCACGTCTTTGTGTTCCACACAGAGCAGGGCTTGGCTTTTTTGGGAAGGATGGGGGCCAGGGTTTCCTGATATTGTCAGGGAATAAGAGTCAGAGAGCCTAAGGAGTGCCTGGTGTGGGGAGCTAGTGCTCTCCTGGGATGGCCCTGACCAGCCAGTCGCAGAGGCTGATGGGTTTTATGAATGGTAGTTGTGTGCATTACCTGATCTTTGTCAGAGATCACTGGACTTCTGAATTCTGTATATCAGAGTCTCATCTCACCTAGGATTTGGGCTCCAAAGTCAGCTTCCCACAAACATCTACAGTTAAAATGACCCTTGAGAATCCTTCAGGAAGGGACCACATTGGAAACCAATGTCCTTCTCTGAAAATGCCTAACCAGCCAGTTTTTCCTCTAGCCTTGGAATAGATGATCAAGTCTACGGTTCAGCACCCATCAGTTTACAATAGAAATTTATACTATGTGAGAAATAGGTAGCCATAGAGCTTGTTGCTGTGTTTAGCACTGTGAGATGCTCACCCTGGGAGAGGCCTCTGGGAACCGTGGTATCCGAGAGGGCGGGAGATTCCCATCGGCCAATTCATGATCGCCCTGCTGTTTATGCTTACCAAGGGGGACGTGGGGACAGTGTTGACAGCATCATTTACATGAGTTTTTCCTAGGGTTTTGGGGCTGGTGCCAGGCCCAATACACAGCCGGCACTCCATTACTGTTTATAATGGCTCTTCCTCCCAGTGGTGCCTTTATGAGATGTTTCTAGCCATCTACCCAATGCTCAGGTGAGCTTGCCCAGGCAGTCTCCTGTCGGACCCCACACCTCTCCTTAATACTTACTTGTTCTCTCATCCCATGTCCCTGCAGCCTTGCCTGGTATCCATTTTATTTATTCACTAAGTTGATTCACACTAATATTTTAATAACTAACAAAGCCTTAAGGGTAATCACCCTCCAAAGGTGTCTGAAAGAAAGAAATGTATGTAGGTGGTAGAGACAGAGGTTTGGGGGTGGTTTGGAAGCTATGTGGTCTTTCGGAGCAAATTCATTGTCTTAGAAGCCCCGGAATAGTGCAACATGGCCACTGCTTCTTTGAGCCATAGGTAAACTGGCTCTGACACCAGGATTTGTCCAGCGTGTAGACAGCCCGGGAACTGGCACACTGAGTGAGAGCGTCAGTTCCGGAAATTGCAGGTGGCCAGAGAGGCACCGGCTGAGTGCTCAGGGCTCCTGGCCTCCAGCTCAGGTCAGGGAAGGTGATGGTTCTAGCAGAGCCAGAGCGAAGGCGGATGCCAGCTTTGCCACCAATACCATTATTACTAATCTATTAGGGACCAGTTTTGGGGCACTGAGCACCAGACCTGAATCAAGTACCACAATGCTTTTTCTTGACTCACCTACATGGTAAATACTACTGTGATTCCAGTCTACAGGTGAGAACCTGAGGCTCAGCAAGCCCAGAATCACAACCAGCTGGTGAGCCGGCTCATCTGCAGGACTTTGCCGCTCCAAAGCCCTACCCCCTCACTGCACCACTTCAAGGAAGCTGGAGAGAGTTCTCGTAACATCCTCCACATTTTACAAATGGAAAGAAAAGGGGAATGACTTGACCAAGGTCACACAGTCACGCAGCTGGCTAGAAGAAGTACCAGCTCTCAGATCCCCAGTTAACATTCTTTCTACTGCACAGTATGGTGTCTCACCAAGCACACAACCCAGTCCCCTGGGATCTCACCTCCCTGCACAGGTAGCTGTCTGAGAGATGCACATTGAAGACAGCATGTGCCCTGGTAAGGCCACTGACGCAGACTTCCTTGATTCCGTGGTGAGGGGAGCAGCAGGCCACCCCGCCTAACCCACAGATGTTGCCTACCAGAAAGCATCAAGCTATAAGGAACCAGATGGTGCAGACTTCCCCAACTTAGCAGCTTGTATTTCATTTCTTGGTGAACTTAAACAAACTAAGAGAGATTTACTTTCTCCCAAAGTTCCTCTCTCTTTCCTCTCCTCAAGGGACCTCATGGAAAGGTGTGGGTAAACAAGATGCTTCACTTGCAAAGATGGTGCACATTATCTGCACACAGGGAGGATTTATGAAGCTCCTTGGGAATCTCGGCGAAGGTCCCTGGGACCCATCAGGCTACAGAGAGTCCACACCACTCTGGTGGACAGCAATGGTAGCATGAATGGGGGGGAGTTTGGAATCAGAGTCAAGGTGAGATTCAAGGTCCCTGAGCCCTAGTGTCGGGAAGCCTCTCTGAGTCAGCAAGTAGATAAAGACAGGGTGGGGGAGGCAGATTTCAGGACCTGTGGTAGAGTAAGCCCGGGGCACTGAACTTCTTAACTGTAGGGTTTGCATTCTGCTCTGGATGGCTTTGGTCAGGACAGAGTGTCTTTTGCACTTCGAGGTGAGCCTATGGCAAGAGTGGTTGACACGGAGCCTCAGGTCATGCCTCCTTCTGGTCTACCACAGGAAAAGAATGAGTGGGAGGGTCTCGGGGGGAGGAACCATCCTGACCAAAGACACAGGCTTCATTCTGTGGAGTATTCTCACAATCGCAATGACAACTCCCTGTTATTTCTATAAATATTTATGTGACGTCTAGGTTATGCCAGGTACTGTGAGGAGAAGGCAGCAGTGAACCAAACAGAAGTTGGCCCTACCTTTAGGGACCCAGTAGAAAACCTTTAACCTTTGGTGAGTGAGCTGGGTCGGGGCAGAGAGTGTCAGGGGAGGACAGGGAGGCCCTCTTAGACAAATGCTGTATTAGGACTCCATGTTGGGAGAATGCATTCTGTTCTCCACATGCTTCTCTGACCCACTGATGTCACTTAACTGTTAACTTCCTCTGACTAATGAAATGTGAGTGCAAATGACATGTCATTTCAGGCAGAAGCTTTAAGGGCCAGTTTGCAGTTCTCCACGTCTTTTCCACGTTCCCTGAGATCCACAGTGCTCTACATAAAGGCTATTTGTTGGCCCAGGTTCCAGGGGGGAAGCCACATGGAGGAAAGCCACAGCCATCCCAAGAAGGACATGCAATAGGAATGACTAACACACCCTTGTTATTTTGAGCCAATGAGATGTTATAAATGTGGGCTCAGTGTCACTCAGATATGTCTTAGTGTGGACCCAGAGGGCTGTTTCAAAACTTGTGACTGTAGCATCACCTGCTTTCCTGATAATCCACCCAAGTGACTGACATCAGAGGCTACGATTCCCATTTCTTCTTCAATATGCCTTCAACACGGACAGGGAGGACTTTCTAACATCCTTTCAGGAGCTCACATGCTGCTGACCTACACAACCAGAGCAGCATTGCACCTTGGGAATCCTAGACAAGAAGGATTCCTGCAAGGCCTTGCAGTAGGGATCCTGGGTCTCCAGGTTGAGCAGCTGGACTCTGGCAGAGGGGTGGTCAGCCCGACTCCTGGAGCAGGGCCATGGATACCCAGTTGCTGACCAGCTTGGGCAAGGCCACTGCAGGTAAAAACCGTCAACTCAACATGGGAGGGCATGCCATAAGGGAGCTGCTCAGAGGACATCAAAGAAATCAGCATATCCACAGAGAAGCTCCCTGCTTACCATTCTCCATGAGTCAGGGTGTGCGGCCCTGTGCTGAGGCATGGTTAAGGGTTTAATCTGAGTCCTGATAGGTGTGCGCCAATTCTCCTTAAAGCTATAGGCCCCCTTTTTGCTCCCTGAGAGTCTAGGGAACCGACACTTAAGCCTGGAAGCTCCAGCCTTGCAGAGGCATCTTGGAGAAGCTGTTGGTAGTTGCTTGGACTTGAGTGATTCTGAGAGTACAAAGGATTCTGACTGTGATTCTGAATGAAGACGAGCTCTGTTAAGCTTCATGGTGTAGTAGAAAAGCATGATCTTCACTTTTTTTTAAAACATGTCTTCCTCAGAAGATTGAATTGTCAAGTGATCTTATTAACTTCTGCATAACCTCAAGAATTATAGCATTTGGATGCTCAGCAAATATTTGTTGAATTAATAAATACATGACTGAATGAACGAATGAATGAACAAATCTCTGAAAATCTCCTGGACTCACAAGGGCATACATCTTGGGCACAACTTAATGTCTGGTGATCTTAAGCACTCTGACAGATCAACCACTTGATTTAAACATGCTCTCATTCTGTGGCCTTTCCTTCAACAGGACCTGCCCTTGGAGTTCCTGACTCCACGTACAAAACAGCTGACCTGGGCAGCATGTGTGGAGGTGTGGGCCAGCTGCCAGGAGCCCTGTGACCCCAAGGAGGAACAGCCCTGGCCTCCACGCTAGGAAAGGCCTGTGTGCCATGGACTGCTTTTCTATTTACTATAATATGTAGTGACGTAGGGGCATCGAAGTGGGCCCTTCCTCCGGCTGTCGGTAATGTCAAATTTCATTTGGCCAAGAGGTCTTCCTGAGGGTTTCATGGTGCATTTCATACTCAAGGCAGCTCTGTGACACTTTGCTTCTGGAAAGCCTGGGACTGAGATGACAGAGCCCTTCAGCTTGAATCTCTGAATTCAGAAAAAACTGAAATGCAGTTTGCTTAACCTCTCCAAGAAACCTGGCTTTAGGTAGAGTGAGGCTAGTGGCAGACCATCTGAAGCTGTGTTCTACAAGCTCGAGGGGACATGGGTTCAGGGTCCTGCATTGTTTTTATTTTGAGGCAGAATGCAGGTGTCCTTGTGTGGGCCCAGAGGGCTGTTTCAAATGCTGCTGCACCTGTCAGGTCCTTCCTGACAATAGACTTTGAACTAGCTATTGTCTGCTCCTAATAGAGCCAGCGTCGCAAGAGGAGGAAGCAGGTGGGCAGTGACCAGATGGGCAAAATACCCCTCCACAGACACACTCCTGCCTGTGTCACTGGCCAGCTATTACCACAGAAGACACATGGGAACTCAAAGGCATTCCAGGAAGCACTCGTAGGATAGTCTTCCTGGTATACAAAGGCCAGAGAATACTCCTGAAGGGAAAGGTTTGGAACAGCAAAGCAGGGAGAGATTCTGGTGGGAAGAAACCATGAGCAAAGATTTAGGGATGAGAACCAGACAGGCCTGGGGACAGGGGAGGTGTCCTGACCAAGAAAAGGCAGAACATCAGGAAGAAACCGGCTATGACCATGGATTGGCATGGTGGAGGCAGGTCCTCGGAAGCTCCAGTCAGGCAGGCGCTGGACACCCACACCTGCATGTTCCCCAGGCACCTGTCCTCGTGGTCCCTAAATCTGTGCATGCCTGGATTCCTAGCTCTGGTCAGCGGCACTCTTGTCCAGGTAGATGCTTGCACTAGCCTCGTCTTAGATTCCTTCTCTCTCACTCCTGACAGCTAATCCATCATTGATTAGCTTGCAGGTTTTGCCTCCTAAAGCTGTCTTAAATGCATCCCTACCGCCACTCCCCTGGTTCAGAACTCATTATCTCTTGCTTAGACCATGGAAATAACATCCTAATTGGTCTCCCTGTTTCCATCCAAAGTCAATAAAGGTTTGAAAGATGAAAAATGCATGGCTGCCGAGGCTGAAAGTGGCACGGCCATTCCCTAGTTGGGAAAGCCTGCAAGCAACTGGTCTACCATCCACTGAAAACACATGGAAGGTTGTCCTGAACCTAAGCCACCCCACAGGAGCAGGAATTATAACCCAGACTCTGTTTTGGAAATGATCCAGCCTGTGTCTTCCTCAAAGTTTGGAAAGAGCATGGGGCCTGATGGGCTGCCTCCTTCTGAAGCCCACTCCCACACTGGATGCACATCTGGGTCCCACTCTTTTGCTTCTGTTCTTTTATCCCCAAGCTCTTGCTCCATGGAATTCAAGATTCAGACCTCTGACACAGAGGGAGGAGTGACTCTGCCCATCACTTACTCGGACAGAGTCCCCACAGTGCACTGGGTGCTCCCACCAGGAAGGTCACCAGAAAGACACACAGACCTCCTCCCATAAAGGGGCGCTCACAGAAACAGGGAAGCTCACATCTTGGGGGAAAGCTGCTTTCCTCACTGATTACCTGTCTTCCTGCAAGACAACTCCAGCAGCCCAGAAGGAATGAGCGGTGTTAACAACCAGATGCAGTTTTGCTCTAAAGTTTCTTCCCTCAGAAAAAAATCCTTCTTGCTCTCCATATCTCCTCATTTCTCCCCAGCAACATTCAAAATCAAATCACAAGAGCATGCCCTTGGGCCCATCTGATCTTTAACAACCTGATTCCATCATCTCCTTCTCACCCGGAGGAGTTTAGGAAATGATTGTGACCCACAGTGGCGTGGGGTTGAGTTGACTTATAATCCAGGGGAGGGAAGCGAAATGGCATGTTCCTTCACAATATGATGTCGTCAGAGATGGCTTCTCTGCACACAAGTAAAGGAGAGCACCAGAGGCCCTTGGCATCCTTTTTGTGGGGGCTGTCTGGGGTACCGAAATTGTGGTGTTCTCCCCAACCTACTGCATCGCTCTGGAGAAGCTGTGTCCCCAGAGGCCTTTCTGACAGCCTGGTGACATGATAAATGGGACACAGCCTAAGTAGGGTCCACTTCACTTTAACTTCTAGAATTTTCACCTGATTCCTTGGGGAAAAGCAATGTGGGTGAAGTTGTGTGTGTGTACCTCTATGTGTGTATGTGTATGTGTGTGTGTGTGTGTGCATGCACACATGCGCAGCAATGGTGAGGGAGGAAAGGTTACCCCCAAATACAAGTCTACTCTAAGAGTAAGCACTTTTCGAAGCTCCCCACAGCACAGCTGGGGACCCAGATGTGAGTTCCTGAATGTTCTTGGAAAGAACAAGAAAGCAATGAAACATACGTGGTCCACCTCATGCCAAGGCCCATTGACACATCAGCGGTCTGGCGTGCCATGCACAAGGGCTGATTCCCACCATACGGAGCACTCCACAGGCTGACTCGAGAGGCTGACATTCTAGCCGCTGCAGCCTGGCCCACCTCCACAGCTGCTGAGCTAAGCAGCCTGCATTCATGCAGAAGTGCCTTCAAATTCTGCCTCTGTCACCTTCTAACTAGAGTCTTGGGATGAATAACAGCCATCTCACACTAACAAAGAGAGCGTTAAACAAAGTGATGCATGTAAAGAGTGTGGCAGGTGCCCCCAGTAGGGGCTTCAGAAGCTGTTTCCTTGGGTAGTACCTCTAGGGGCCTCGTTTCCTAGTTCCCAGTGGCTCCTTTCCCCGGCCATCACCTCACATAGACAGCAGGTCCTCTCCCTGTGCTGGGACACCTCCAGCTCTACCCCAGCTCTTCCTCTCTGCCGCGGGCAGCCAGGCTGCCTTTACTGGCATGCTGCCTAAGCTGTCACATGGGGCCCGTGCTTGGCAGAGGCCCTGGCTTGGTTTCATGCTTTGCTGTTGCAGCCTTAACATTTGTAATAGTTTTTTTTTTTTTTTTAAATAAGTTTAGGTGAAATATCCAGCAAGTTGAAAGTATTTATTTATTGCCTTAAAAAAAAATTTAATTTAATTTTTTCAGTGTTCCAAGATTCATTGTTTATGTACCACATCCAGTGCTCCATGCGGTCCATGCCCTCCTTAATACCCACCACCAGGCTCACCCAACTCCCCACCTCCCTCCTCTCCAAAACCCTCAGTTTGTTTCTCAGAGTCCAGAGTCTCTCATGGTTCATTTCCCCCTCTGATTTCCCCCAATTAACTTATCCTTTCCTTCTCCTAATGTCCTCCATGTTATTCCTTATGCTCCACAAATAAGCAAAACCATATGATAATTGACTCTCTCTGCTTAACTTATTTCACTCAGCATAATCTCTTCCAGTCCCGTCCATGTTGATACAAAAGTTGGGGATTCATCCTTTCTGATGGAGGCATAATACTCCATAATGTACATGGACCACAACTTTTTATCCATTCATTCATTGAAGGGCATCTTGGCTCTTTCCACAGTTTGAAGACTGTGGCCATTGCTGCTGTAAACATTGGGTACAGATGGTCCTTCTTTTCACTACATCTGAATCTTTGGGTTAAATACCCAGTAGTGAAATTGCAGGGTCATATGGTAGCTCTATTTTTAATTTCTTAAGGAATTTCCACACTGTTTTCCAAAGTGGCTGCACCAGCTTGCATTCCCACCAACAGTGTAAGAGGGTTCTCCTTTCTCCACATCCTCTCCAACACTTGCTATTTACTGTCCTGTTAATTTTGGCCATTCTAACTGGTGTAAGGTGGTATCTCAATGCGGTTTTGATTTGAATCTCCTTGATGGCTAATGATGATGAACATTTGTAATAATTTTTGAACAAGGGTCCCCCATTTTCATTTGCACTGGGTCCTGAAAATTATGTAGCTGTTCCTTTGTGGAGGAAACTGACCTCTCCCCAGGTGACAGTCACCACCTTTCACATTGGCCTCTGGTCAGGTGTCTCTTTCCAAACCAACACAGTGGAAGGGAGCCATGTTCCTTCAGGCTCTGTGGTAGGTTCTCGTGAATACACTGGGTCCTTAATTGCTGTTGTGCTGATGAAGAGCAGAGGCTTTGTCACATGCCTTGCTCACAGCCACAATATTGGCAAATGGTGGGATCTGGTCAGGTGCACGTGATGCCAAGAGATGAGCTCTCTGACCCTTTAACCATAATAAGTAAATTTCATATTCACCCAGGAGTTACATGTGCCCATGTGGGAAGGACTCATTCTTTCATTAATAAAAGATATGCTCTGTATAAATCATTTAAAAGCAATTAATTAAAAAATAATCCCAAGAGGAAAAAACGTACCGCATAATTTCTGAAGGGATCTCTCAGAGTAGGTCTCCCGGTCGCAGCCCTTCCCGATGTAATTGGTCTGCAGCTCCGTGGTGATCTGGATGGAGGACACGGCCCCGTCGCAAGTCTCCAGGTGGATGCTGGGGAAAAGCGGCACGCTCCCTGAGCCGGGCTGGTACTCAATCCTCTTGGTCCAGTCTGAATCAACAAGGAAAAGATAAAAGTCAATCAGGGATGGCCAGTCCTGCCATAACACTTGGTCTGCAAATGTGGATCTGTTCCAACATAACTGATATATTGGGAGACGGTTGGAAGATAAGGGGAATTTGACGTTTGCTTATGGAAGTCTTCCTTCCTGAGCAACATGAGGTGAAGGCAGAAAACAGCTACCAGCAGAGCTGAGTCAGGTAGGAAGGTACAAGACACGTATGTGTACACACCCCAAACACCCAGCTGCCACATGGTCCACTGCACATTATGAGCCACATCACATGTCCCCGCAGTGACAGCATCCCTCCATTCAGGAAGCCCCGTCCCCCATCCTGTCACAGTACCGCCCCAGCTGCATCCCTCCCCTGCCACAGGCAAATGCCATGTCTCTTTAAGGTGAGGTACAAGATTCACTGTAGGAATTCTATCTTTCTTAACCATTGAACCCATGTAAAACCATGATAATTTTTTTTCTTTCTTATGTGTCACTGATGACATTTTTGAGCGTTATGCCGCTTTCCTCATTTCTCCCATTTTGCCCAGTGGGGTGATTTTTAGGAATGCATACATTCTGTCACAAAACAAGAGAGCATGGTAGTTCAGGGTTCCTTGGAATCATGTGGTGGGACGCAGGATTCTTTCTCAAGCATTCAGGACTGTGACCACTTGAGTAGCGCTGATGCGCTTATCACTTCTTTTTAGTGTAAAAACAATTCCTAGACGATAAAGTGTTGGAGAAGAATGAAACCACAATCAAAATAATACCACACAAAATAGAGCAATCGATAAAAATAAACACCAAGAGGGAGTGTACCCATGGATTGACTGGAACAACCACAGCAGCAGTTGAAAGGTAGAGGAGAGTAGAGGAAAAAGTCACAGTGACCCGTCACAGCACTTGGAGACAGCCACGAGCCTGCCATGCTCAGTGAGAACGCATGTCTGAGAGGCCTGTGTGGCCCCAAGTCAGACTGGTGGGTAGAACCAAGCAATGTGACATATGGATACTATTAGCTGATGAATCCCAAATGTTTGTCACATAGAACCTTGCTAGGAGGTATCCTTTTTCTGAAGCAGAAATGAAAATCTATGAAATTGCCCACTCTCGCCTATAAGAAAAGGAGAAATTCTGGCATTCGTGGCTCAGTGTTCTTCACAAGCACCCAGTGGGCCACTGGCTGACATCTTGAGCAATTCCAGTGGACGGGCCAGATGCCCTTATTCACTGAGCAGCTGTGTGTTCAGGGTTCCCATGTGCAAGCTCTGCTTGGAACATCGAGAAAAAACAGTGCAGGAGGCAGGAAAGGTCCCTGCCTTGTAGAGCTGGCACGGGGGAGGGCATGGTTTGGGGGGAGGCCTGTGCTATCCTATCTGAGAGGGTGAGCCTAGGAAAAGAAAAGCAGGGACAGAGAGGGGCTCTTTAGATGGAGAGAGTTCCTGTCTGAGCTGAGGTCTGCATATGAAGGATGAATGTGCGTGGGAAGCCTCAGAGAAGCAGGTTCGAAGCAGAAGCCCCAGTGATCTTGGCTTGACTCTGTCTGGTCAGAAACTTCCTGGGCAGGAAGCTTCCCGAAGCAGCAAGCTTCAGGCACCTCATCATAGAAGAGGGACCTTACAGTGTTGGGGTGAGGACTGAGGGCCTCCGTGTGTGCATGGCATATGGCAGGGCCTCAATCAGTGTTGTTCCTGGAGAGGAAGGGAGATGTTCAGTCCTAGGGGACCCATGTTCCTGCCCTGCAACCCTGCCATGTTCCAGATAACCATGGAATCTGGGTTTAGGTCTGAAGCCCATGTCAGCCAGCCACTCTTTCAGGGATTTTCTCAGAGCAGGCCATAAGCAGAGACTGCACCCAGGCTTGTGAGGTTGGCCACCAGGAACTTAGCACAGGACAGTATTTGGATGGGAGGGACTTCATGTGAAAGAGAGTGTACCTGATTGCATCTTTTCCTCACAACCCCCAGGAACTCTGTCTGGACTAGACCATCGCCTTCTGGAGGATGAGATCATGGAGCTGCTCTAAGCCATGCTCCAGAGGCCCCAGGTTCAATTAAGATGAGACACTGGAGGAAAGGAGGGCTTTCTGTCAGGTGCCTCTGAAGGTCACAGAGCTGTAAGAAGAAGTCCGCACACAGCCAGGCTTGTGTTTTGGGTACAGTGTTTCATGCCTCTGTGCACTTGATCACGCTGTGTCTTCTATAAAGAGCTCCCTTCCTTTCCCCTTCCATCTTGTTAACTCCACGCAACCTGTCTGAATTTCTCCATTCCAGTTAGATACGCTCGTTTGTGCCCCCACGACATCCCCAGCATTAGTTACGGCATTAGACTCTCAGCTTCACGGTTACTCTGAATCCGCAACACGCTCTGTGCCCAGTGCCTGGCACGGAGTAGACTCTCCCTCGATATTGGCAGAGAGCATGAATGAATCCTATGGGAGTCATATGTATGCTTGCCTCTCCCACCAACTGGGAGCTCCTCAAAGGCAGGGACTATGATGCTTATTTTTGATCCTTCTACTCTGAGGTCAGAGCACAGGCTATATCCACCAGGTGGATCTGGGGAATCCTCAGACACCTGAGCTGACTGCCGCCATGGCAGCCTTCCCTGAGCCCCAGACAGAACTTGTGGCCTCTTTGTCCTTCTCTGGTACTGCCCCAGCCTGCTCCTACCTTCAGTCCTGCAAAGCCACCCAGCCCAACAGCAGCCCATAACACCTGGGTTCTTTTTGTTCTCAGCAAGGCAGGTGTGCCAGAATTGATGAAAGAAGAAGCTACCTCCAGATAATAAGAAATGGCACCCAGCAGGAGGCCTTTCCATCCCTGTCTCACCCCTCTTTCCCTGGATCTTCCCTCTCTTTAAAGGAGCAGATGGGAACATGGAGAAAGTGGCTTTGTATAGAGTGCCGTGCGGTGAGCCCCATGGCACCAGTCCTTGATGTGCTACTCTTTCTGCTGGTATAAGGTTCTCCCCCACCTCACCTCCTTCTGGAAGCCTCTTCATTGGAGAAGCCCAAGACATCAATGGTATTGATTCCCTTTATTCCGTGGGGGCTGTGGGTATCTGGACATTTTGCTGGTTATCCTTGATGATGTTCTACCTGAAATCCTTTTTGGAAGGAGTGCAAATAAAGAAGCAAATAAATGGTAAAGGGAAGTTCAGTGGAGGCACAGGTCTAGTACAGATCTCATTCCTCTCACCACCCCCTGGCTGGGGGCGGGGGTGAGGCCCTCTTTGGGAAGAAATCGAAGGGACTTTGGGAACGTCACACCTGCAGTCGCTTTGTGGACCTCACCAGGCTTGCTTTTGAGGGTTCACGAGGAGTAGCCAAAATTGTAACCACAGAGTAAAAAAAATTGATGAAGCTTTCTGAGTGTAGTGTCCTTGACAGAGTGGGAAGCTCACACAAACATCTTTCATTTTCCAACAAGGACTTTGAGATGGGGATCAAGAGAGCAAAAGGGAAGCCATCAAATTCATCCTTTGTCACATGGAATATCTATTCATCCTCATTTCCTGGAGGTAAGATAGCAAGATGGGTAAAGTTATGACCTCTAAACTCAGTGTGCCTGAGTTCAAATCCCACCCCTACTACTTCCTGCATAACTTTGGGCAAATCATTTACCCTCTCTGAGCCTCAGTTTCCTCTTACGTAGAAGTGTTGTCTACCACCCAGGATTTGGGGGGAGGGATTAAATGCAGACCCGTTTTAGCACCAAACACAAGGGTCATGTTCAATAGATACATTAGTTAACTTATCATTTATTCAAGAGCACTTATTACAGGAAACAAAGGATATATAAGCATTAAGCACCCACAAGGGGCTAGCACTTATCATTCTATTCTTTTGTTTGATCCTCCCAGCGACCCAGTGATTATTATCTTAATTGTGCAGGTGGCAACACCATGGTTGACAATTGGTGTGACTTGCCCAGGGCCATGCAGTTCTTTTACCATAGCTCTGCCACGATTCTGAGGATTTGCCGGGATGGAGAACAAGTGTAATTTTTACAGATTCATTTTTGAATGTTTAGTTTATACTGATATATACATATATACACAGATACATATATGTATGTATGTATATATATATATATATATATATATATATATATATACATATGCATATACATATAAATAGTACAGAAGCTGGTTTGGGGTGTGGGTTCTGGACTGGATGGTCTGCATCGGCAAAGCAAATGGGTAAGTTGTTTCTCATCTTTGTATTGCTAGGAATTGGCTAACCCTGGGGTGAGTCCCTTCAGGGTCAGCAAGGCCCCAGTTGTCTAAATATCAGAATATAGAATAAATAAATAAATAAATATATATATAATATATATATATTATATATGTGATATATAAATGATATATATCATATATAAAAATATATATAAATGATATATATCAGTATATATCAGTATATATATACATACATCTATATACTGATATGTATATGTATGTATGTATATATCTATATACACACATACACACACATAAATATATAAAAGTGATAATCTCCAATATTAGCAAAAGATCCAGGAGTGTTGTCAGTTTCATCACTGCTTGACCTTGAGGGCAGCTGGTGGAGGCACAGGGGTTACTGAAACCCTGGACACTGAACAAGGACCGCCCTTGAATCTCACCTCCTCTAACTGTGGGTCATGTGACCTCTGCAAATCTGAGCCAGTCATCGCTGAGCCTCCACTGCCTCACCTGTAGAGCTGAGTTAGAGATACCTCCTCATGGGCTTGTCATGAGACTTTAAGGCGAAGGGCCCAACATGGCACACTTCGTGTTGAAGGCTCACGACAAGAATGTCCCGCTCCCTGGCTCACAAGCTTCCCAGACTTCTCCGAGCTATCTTGCTTGGAAACAAAATCTTTCCAGTGTAAAAAGGACCTGGAGACTAGTTTATGAAGCGTGGTTCAGTTGTTTACTTAAGTGAAGAGAAAGGAAGCAGCCCCCTTTTGTTTTGATAAATTAGGCTCAATTA